CGTGGTAGACAGAATCGCACCCTTTTCCGACTGATACATCCTAGATCGTTCTCCACGGGTACGATCCTCACGACCTATAGAGTCGAGACAAGATGCCGAATCGACCAACCACTCTCTCCCCTCTACGACGGCAGCAGCAGTCGAGGGAGACTCCCAAGGACGGCGTCGGCCGCCCTCCTCTAGGCGTTTCCGTCGGGCGCCGCCCAAGTCCCGGACGGCGTCCGAGGACGCGCAAGGATCCTCGAAGCACGTTGGCTCAGGGATTGGGCGATCCATGCTACACCGATGGCGGGCCCCACTCCCGCGGATTTCGCCCTCCAGCTGGTCCGCCGCCGCGCGAGCAGCAGCCCCCGCATTTCCCATTAACGAAGGAACGCGCTCAAGCCGAGCATCAGCCACTGGTCTGGGCCAATTGTCGATCGCACGCCCAGTCGGATTCTGAGTCCAGTTGACCGACTGCGCGCGAGCCTGGATCTCAGCAGCTTCTACCAATTTGTCGAAGCGAACACTATACGAAGGTGGCCGCCTCGCCCTCGTAGACGGCTCAACCAGCTCAGCGGCGCGAAAAAGGACGCTTCGCCAGACAAAGAGTCCCTGCGGGAATCTCCGCGATCATACTCAGAGAAGGATCCACTCAGACTCCTGCGGCGAGAGCCGCCAAGACTGTTAGAGCGTCGGGATCCCCCGACGCGAGACTCAGATCCGCGCCGGGCCCCCCCCGCGCTTCGCCCTGAATGCGGGCGCCCTTCCCTCGCGGATGAACGAGCGCCCCCCCCCCGCGCCGCGCGGGGCGCGCCACGTCAGGGCGGTCGGCGTCAACGGGGGCGCCAGGAGACCGAGGTGGATTGACGCTTGCACGCCTGGCCCTTGGACAACTGTCGCGGTCTCCAGGACGTCCTTCGCAGTCGCCCTTAGGACCCTTACCTCGCCAGGGGCTCTCACAAAGCGTTCTGCCCCCTACCCTTTCGGGCTCGGGGTGCCCCGCCTCTTCGTCTCCCCGCCCGGGCGACTGCTGTCTGGCACCCCCCCAGGCGATGGGGCCCAGACTGAGCTCTGCCCCCCGGAATGGCCCTCGCCCTCCTCGCGAGCCCCGTTCGAAGCGCGGGGGGAAGACCTGCGCTGTCCGCGCCCGCTGTCGCAGCTCTTAGAACGCCCTCAAGATGGCAGGGAACCAGGTCGAGATGCTGGCGCAACAGCTGGAGCACCCGACTTCGCTAAATGAGCGAAGGCGCATGCTTCTCTCCGGGTGCACGCCCCCTCTGGCAGATGGCGCACGGGGCCTTCCAACGCAGGTGCTCACAGCCAGACCTGGCACATTTGCCATCTCGGGCACAGGGTGGACAAACTAAGTCGGACTCTCATTCGCGCCGGGCTGCCCCGCCGCAAAGGCGCCCTCGCCGCCTCTGACGCCGGGGCGCGGGGGGGGGGGGCAACCCCAGGGGCAACCTTCGCCGCAAGCAGAACAGCTTCATCGCCGAACCCAATCACTGCAGATTCCTGCACTTGCTGCCATGGTACTATCGGTCATCTGCGCGTTGATACTCTCTGGCGCTCAAGGAACTCCTGGCATCTGTCGTAAAGCCATTGGTAGGTTTTGTTTGGGCCGTCCCGCTCCATTATATGGAGAGTTCCCATGTCGGACCCCGTCTCCACGGCGTTCAACCCGCGACCTAAATTAAATGCAGTTTCAAAGACGTTGCCAGCGGGCGACGACCTCATACCAAACATGGCTCAGTCCGATGAATTCGAGGAACGCGCAACTTGGGCATATTGGTGGTCATCTTGACACTGTTCCAATGAGAGAAATCAGAAATGCACCCATCGGCTCCCGCCAGCCGGCACCAATCCATTATCATTCAAACTATATGTAGCCTCTGAACCAATCAATCTCGGGCACTGGCTTCTCCCGCGCGGGCATTCACCCTTCGTTCGAGGTCGTCGCTTCTGAGGATGTCGCATCATGATGGGCCAAACTGTGCGCCGCGGGCACCGAAGTTCCCGCTGTTAACGAGCCTCTCGCACGTTGTGCCGCTGCATTATCCACCTCGATTTCCCGAAGCCACCTGAGGGTTACTCCTAGTCTACCTCATGCCAAACTTAACGCAGCGCACGCGCCCTGTTTCCATTCTCGAAAGTAAGGGAAAGACGGCCGAGACCAAAAAACTTAAGGCGATATGCTTATGTATACGTTGTGTACATTGTCATTAACATCCTCGGCCTTTTCAGCTGCACGCCGTTGGTCGCCCGACGAGCCCGCGCCAGTGCCCGCCCGTTCAAACTCGGACGGCGGCGGGAGATCCGGCGCGCGCCGCCAGCATTCTGGGGACTGCACCCACCGCTCTAGCATGACCGCTCAGGTCGGTTAGAAGCAGCTGGTGGTTCGCGCCAAGGAGGGCAGGCCCCCGCTCAGGATGCGGCCGCGGCGACGGCGGGGCGTTGTTAATTTTTCCCTCCCGAAGCCACCCTCCGCCACAGGCGTCGGGTTTCCCCGTCGCACTAGCGTCGGGCCCCCCCGTCGCGGTCGCGTCAAGCTTCTCCCACACCTGCCTAGGGGTCGCCCCAGGAGTCGGCGGGCGCGCGTCACCCACTGCTCGCCAGCCGGCTAGCTCCCGAACCGCTGGCGGTGATGGGCTTCTCATGTTGCCCAGTGAGAGGCCGCCCCATCGGGCTGACATGCCTGGAAACCGGAAATGGTTGCAAGGCAATGGCGGCCATTTGTGTAGCAGTCTCCTGATGGTGATCGCGGCGCGACTCCCGACGTCTCGCGCCGAACCTGCCCCCAAGCGGTTGCAGCATGATCTAGCTGCTGAGTTAATTCATTGCTATGGTGCTCCAACAGTCTGGCCCAAGCTTCGAGTGATCTATGTCGGTGGACAGCGTGCTCGACAACACTTATTCTTACAAGAACGTGGTTGACTCCCTGTCTGAGTGCTCGGTGATCGGATTGGCGCGCCTGTGCAATCGCAGGCGACAGCTTGCCCAAACTTTCCTGAGCTTGAGGGCCCACGCTCCGGCCATTTTGCGCCTGGCAGGCGTTCGCACAACTCCGTGAAAATAGCCCGCGATCTATTGAGGTTATCCCCTTGCTGGTGTTTGAACATGCCGCTTTGATCAGAGAACACCTGCTGCTGCATTTCAGCCATCTGCTGGGTCAAAGTCTGGGGCACGGCGGCAGTCGAAACCGATCTTTGGACCAGACTCGCAGTCCCGCCTGCGGTCTGGACCATTGCTTCTCGACCATTTGAGGTGGTACTTGTTGCACCTGACCCTCGTGACTTCCGCTGCCTTTGCTACCCCAACTTCGTACCCATGTTTAGAGAAAACGGGTTTCGTCGGATCCCATTCAGAATCTTGCCGTGGCCGCGTCGAGCTCTCCAGGCTCACCACCGTCAGGCTTCCCCAAAGCAAACGCCCGTTCGCGGGGACGCGGTGGGTACACGCCGGACGGAAGAAGTAGGCAGAAACATGAAGCAGGAAGGCGGATAAAGCAGATTGGGCTCGGGCCCGCCCAAAGAATTGACAAGCAACAGCCAGACCATGTCGATCCTTGAAGCAGGAAGGCACCCGAAGTCGATTGGGCCCTGGGCAGCCAGAATCACCTCTACTTCCAACGACCGACGGGCAACCGTCAGCACACAGAGCACGCAAATCAGGCGAGGCGACGGGGGGGGCGCCGGCCACGAGCGCGCGTGCCCCTCCGGCCCCCCCTTTCGGTTACCCTGCCGACTGCGAGCCGGGAGCAGGCTGCGGGGCGGCGGAGCCCTCGCCTCGGTCCCCGAAGGAGGGAGGGGGGAGGGGCAAGAGAGCGAGCGGGAGGCGATCGCTCAGAGCAGACGCGCGCCAGCTCCCAACGGCAAAATAAACCTCCTTCCTCATCCATCGTCGTCCGATTGTCCATTCCTTCCTCGTCCATCGTCGTCGCATTCCTCCCTCAAACTGTCGCACTCCTGCTGTCGCGTGGAACTGTTCTGCGCCTCTTGCGTCCTCTTCCTGCCCCTCGTTCGATCAGGGAGCCAGACGCGAACCCTACCCCTACCCCCCACGACTTCTGAGGGGGAGGGGGAGGTTCACTTCGTTCGGGAGCTCCCGAGCGAAGTGAACCCCACCATCCCCCTCAGAAATCGTAGGGGGTAGGGGTAGGGTTCGCATGTGGCCCCTCATTCAATACCCCCCTTTCCTCGTCGAGCCTCGTGCTGCCGTCCCGCGAGTCGTGCATCGCGCGCACTTCCCATGTAGCTTGCACGACCAGTGACGAGCCCTGTGTTGTCATCAGCCATACCTCTCTGGACCACCTCGTTCCACTCAATGCAGATGGGTTACTCGGGTCGGGCGACAGGGGGGATAGCAAAGGGGGGCTTTGAGAATCAGCTCACGTAGCTGATTTTCCCGGCGCCTCCCGGCGCCGGAGGCGGCTATGTATCGAGGAATGGGCCCCTCGGTGGGGCCGAAACCAACTGCATGCAGCACATTTCGTAACCCCCCCTTTCCTTGTCCCCCCCTTTCGTCCGGCCCGAGGTACGTACGTCGCTATGTAATCATTTTCACGGTTAAGGCCTTTACCGGCCCCGGCCGCCACCACCGGCCCCCCCCCCCAGCCCCCACCCCCCGCCCCTCCACCAGGCAACTTCACGATTCGTGCTGACGTCCGAGCTGTCGTCTGTTGTTCCTCTACATTCTTGACGGCGCCAGCGCAAAACGTGACGTTACCTACCCCACCCAATCCCCCCCGTAACGTCCGCACAAAACGCCCTCCTCTCCTCCCCTCGCTCCCCCTCCTCCTCCTCCTCCTCCCCTCCTCCTCCTCCTCCTCCTCTCCTCCTCCTCCTCCTCCTCCTCCTCTCCCCTCCTCCTCCTCCTCCTCATCCTCCTCCTCCTCCTCCTCCTCCTCCTCCTCCTCCTCCTCCTCCTCCTCCTCCTCCTCCTCCTCCCCTCCTCCTCCTCCTCCTCCCCTCCTCCTCCTCCTCCTCCTCCTCCTCCTCCTCCTCCTCCCCCTTCGTTGCCCGATCCTGGAGGCAGCCGGTAGGCTGGGTCGACGCGGGGCTGGTGCCAGGACCAGTGGGATGAGGGCATCTCCTTGCGGAAGAAGTACTCGCCTCGGGGAGCCGCCGGCCGCGTGCTGGCAGGCGGGGCTGGCTGGGCCCACCTCTGGCCCCCAGGAAGGCGCGCGTACACCCCGTGCCGAGGCGTGGTCTCGAGGTGGTCACTCCTCCTCCGCTCGATGCGAAAGAATCACGGCCGCGGCTGTTCTGCAGCTTCTTGGGGGCCCTCGCCGGGCCCCAGGACCGATAAAGAACTGCCCGGGATGAGAAGCCTGTCCTCCAGAAGCGGCCTAACCCTCCAGGGGTCTCCGTTGTGAAAAAGCAGGCCGCCGGAGAGCTCTAGGACACCCTGGCTTCGCGCGGTCGCGCCACGCGATGCGCGACGCTCGGCTCCCGTCGCGCCCTCGCGCGGCCACCCTGGCGAGGAGCAGCTCTCTCCGCCCCAGGCCGCGACGCGCCGAATGCTCCCAGCGCGCCAGGGGGTGACGCAGCCTGGCCTGTACGCCAACCGCCCTGCGGCTTCGGCACCGCCTGTCTCTGGGGCTCTGCCTCCCCTCGGCCTCGCCCTGAGGCCCCGCCGCTCTCCCCCCCTCCCTCCGTCTAATGCAGGCTTCGCGCGGCCCGCTTAGCTTCGACCAGAAGAGGTGCGCTCTCGACCCGCGGATCAAAAAAACTGCCCGCCGACCGCGAGCCAGACGGGGGGGACGGAAGGGGAACTCACGAGGTGCCCCTCCCGCTACTTCTCCTTCCCCTGGAGGCAGGGGGACGAGAGGTAGAGGGCGGAGGGGAGGGGAGGGGAGGAGCCGCAGCGGGAGCGGGGGAGGAGACGGGCCCAGCCAGGCCCGAACGCCAGTGCGCAGCCCGTGCGCCCCCCCATCGCCCAGGTAGTCCAGCTGATTGGTCGCGACGTCGGCCGGCTCGGCGTCCCGGGGCTCCAGCTCGCGGCGGTCCTTGATGGCGTAATACCGCGACATCTTGAGATCCGCCGCCGTGCCTCACGACACGCTGAGGCGTGGAAGGATGCCGAGTGCCGCCTGGCAGGGCCTCCGAAGTCTTCCGAGGGGCCCACCAGCAGCCCCTCACGTCGCGCCCCCTCGCGCCCTCACCCTCCACCTTCCGCACCTTCCGCGCGGCAGGTTCCACGCCGCGGCGGCCGCCGCCGCGGCCGCCACTGCGGCTTCCACCGAGGCCGCAGCAGAGGTTTCGGCGGCGGCGGCGTCCGCCGCGGCGCGGCACCTGCCGCGCGGAAGGTGCGGAAGGTGGAGGGCGGGGGCGTGCCACCCAACATGCTGCGCTGGCGCGGTGGCGGCACTGCCGGAGGCAGCCGGATACTCGACCCTCTGCTTCCGGTGCATGATCCGGTTCCACTGCCAGTGCGGGATCTGCACCACACGGTAGCCCATGGCCTTCACGATGCGCTCCTGCAGGCCCGCGCCGCCCGGCCCCGCGCGCGAGGGCCGGAGGGCTCCTCCTCCTCCTCCTCCTCCTCCTCCTCCTCCTCCTCCTCCTCCTCCTCCTCCTCCTCGTCCTCCCTCCTCCAACTCCCCTCCTCCTCCTCCTCCTCCTCCTCCTCCTCCTCCTCCGCCTCCATCTCCTCCTCCTCCTCCTCCTCCTCCTCCTCCTCTCCTCCTCCTACTCCTCCTCCTCCTCCTCCCCCTCCTCCTCCTCCTCCTCCTCCTCCTCCTCCTCCTCCTCCTCCTCCTCCTCCTCCTCCTCCTCCTCGCAGCCAGGCTCCATGGCTCGGACGCGCCTCCTCGCTCGGCGGGCCGGCCGGGCGAGGCCGGCGGCGGTCCTCCCTGGGCGCGCCTCTCGCTTCCCGGGGGGCTCCCGGGAGACCTCGGCTCCCGGGAGGAGGAGGAGGAGGAGGAGGAGGAGGAGGAGGAGGAGGAGGAGAAGGAGGAGGAGGAGGAGGAGGAGGAGGACGAGGAGAGCCAGTCCGAGGGGCCCCGGGAGGGGTCCAGGGGCCGAGTGCGAGCGCAGCTGGGGCGGGGGCAGGAGAGCGGCCGTTGTCGAGTGGCCCTCCTCCATCTCTTGCCCGAGGATTGCAGGAGGGGTGTTGTCCCCAGGCCCCCCTCCATTCGGGGTGGCCTGGGGGCCCTCGTCCTGCAGGCACATGGTGGCGATCTTCTCGGTGGTGCCCGCGTAGAAGCGGTCGAAGTGGTTGCACTCGTACACCAGCTTGCGGTCCCGCTCCACGATGTCGATCGTAAAGGGCCCCCTCTCGACCTGCGGCAAGTGGCCGATCTTCATCTTCGTGAGTATCGCGCTGACCTTCTGTTTATTCCGTGCGCTCTTCACTCTGTGGCGGGAAACGAAGGGCGTGCGAGCAAATCCAAGAGACCCTCTGGGCGGAGGTGGTCCAGAGCGCTCCCTCTTCTGACCCCCGTCTTCCCCCTTTTGTTAGCCCAAGGTGGCTCCGACGGGGGCCCCCTGTGAGCTAAAGGTGATATCCCAGATGGCTTGAGATACCCAACTTGGCTGAAGATGGCCTCCAAGCTGCCTCGAAGGAGCCCCAAGACTGCTCCAAGACGGCTTCAAGTGGCCACGGAGCCTCCCAAGGAGACCCCAGGAGGTCCAAATCCTTCCAACACATGAAGCAAAATGTGTTTCGCCTCATTGCTTGTTCGCTTCGGGTGGGCTTTTCTCTAGAACCTCAACAGCGCTACAAGAGAGCTCAAGAGGGCCACAAGAGACGTCAAAGAGGGCCCAAGACGTCCCCAAGAGCGCCCATGAACGCTCCAAGAGGGGCCCAAGAGGGTTCCAAGTGGCCGTTGTCGGGCTCCAGGGGGGCGGGGCTAATTATTTCGACATGTCACTGGCGCCGCGCCCGCCACCCCGCCACCCCTCGGCACCCAGCCCACCTCCATTCCCCCATCCAGCCTGCGCGCCCCCTCCACCCCGACCATTTCTTTTTGTGGGGCCGCTGCCGCCCCTCCCATTTCTGCTGCCAGTCGCCCTCTCGTCGGTCCCACAGCCGGCCCAGCTCCTCCTCGCCAGCCAGCGCGCCTCCTGGGCCCCGACCCTGATATTTCACCACGGCAACTGGCACCGCGCCCCTTGCCCCTCCACGGCCAGCTCAGCTCTCCCTCGTCCACCAGCCAGCGCGCCCCTCCGCCCGACACTTTTTCTTTTGGCACGGCAACGGCACCGCGCCCTGCCTGGCGCCCCCGCGGCCAGCCCACCTCCTCCCCCGCCAGCCATGTCCGCCCTCTCCGCCCCCCCGACCCTTTTACTTCGGCAGGGCACCGTCGCCACGCCCGCCCCCGCATCTCCGCAACCAGTCGCCCACCCCTCCCCCGAACAGCCAGCCCAGCTCCTCCTCGCCAGCCAGCGCGTACCATGCGCCCACACCCTAGTGTTCCAGCAAGGCACCAGCACCGTGCTCCTTACACCCCCGCGGCCAGCCCGCCTCCTCTCCCCATCAGCCACCGCGCCCATCCGCCCCGACCCTCTTTATTTCGGCACGGCACCGGCACCGCGCCTGCCCCCACCCCTCCGCGGCCAGCCCACCAACTCCCCCCCCGCCAGCCAGCGCGCACCATCCGCCCCGACGCTTTCATTCCAGCACGGCACCGGCGCCGCGCTCGCCGCTCTCCCAGCCAGCCCGCCTCTTCCTCCCCCACCAATTAGCCAGCGCGTCTACGCCCCGACCATTTAATTTCGGCGCTGCACCGGCGCCGCGCCCTCCCGCGACCCTCCGCAGTCAGCCCACCACCCACCCCAGCGGCCCCTTTCGCCCCGACCCCTACATTTCGGCGCGGCACTTGCGCCGCGCCTGCCCCACTCCCCCCACAGCCAGCCCACCTCCTCCCCACCAGCAGCGCGCCCTCTTCCACCCGGCCCATGTATTTCGGCACGGCGCCGGCGCCGCGCCCGCACCCCTACTCATCTCCACAGCCAGTCGCCCTCCCCTGCCCCCTACAGCCAGCCCAGTTACCCATCGCGCGCCCCCACAGCTAGTACAGCTCCTCCTCGCCCACCAGCCAGCGAGCCCCCCTCCCGCCCCGACTTTTTGTATGTCGGCGCTGTCGGCCCTGCAGACCAGCCTCCTGGGTTCCGCCGTGGCCCCTGGCTGTCTCGGCCGCCAGTCCCCAACCATCGTCCTGGCCTTCCTGGGGACCCCTGTTCGCGGTCTTCGCCTCTGCAACTGCTTCTGCTGCCTCCCCTCATTTCCCCTCCTCGTCTACTCACTCTGTCCCCTGCTCTGGGCGTTCCCCTTTCCCTCTCCTCCTTCTCCTCCCTCCTCGTCCTCCCTCCCAAAATCTCTCTCCGCGTCCTCCGTCTCCCGTGTCCTCCTTTTCTCCGTCGCCGCTTGCTTCCCGCCGCGATGCGTCGAGCGCGCTCATCTTCGCACTTCTGGGATTGAGCTATAGGGTACCGACACCGCCACGCCCAGCACCCCTCTGGGGGTGTGTTCGGACCAGAACTTCAAGACAAGTCCGGCCGTGGCGACCATGGAAAAGTAGCGGAATCGGTATCTTGTACTCTTCCGATCGCCGGAGCTCGAAACCAGCCTCCGAAACCGTCTTCCAAAGGCCAAGACATGGCGCCTCACTGGCCGAAGGGAAATAGGCAACCACATAACCGCGATTGGTCTTGAACAAACTTCTCAAAAATAATCAGGAACTACTGTAATTTCAGCCGCGGGCTTCTTGACGGGTTGGGACCCCAACAATACTGGAAAAAAAATGCTTCCCAAGCGTCGACCACCGCTGATGATCGTGGGAAAGATGAGGACACCTGATGGTTTTAAGGATCGGGAGGGGAGGGGAGGGATTAGGAGTAACGAGTTCCACTGCCAGCCGAGAGCTTGGATGGGGGTCCCCCACATCACTGAAGACCTCCTGCGGACACAAACCCTGCCCCTGCAGGTCCGAGCTCTGCAAACCCGGCTGGGATTCAAAACCTGAGAGAATGTGTCTGCGGCCAGGCGAACACCCTCAGCGGGGGTGTCCGACGCCCCTGCATCGATTCCCCCCGCCCTCCGCCTTCCGCACCTTCCGCACGGCAGGTGCCGCGCCGCGGCGGACGCCGCCGCCGCCGAAACCTCTGCTGCGGCCTCGGTGGAAGCCGCAATAGCGGCCGCGGCGGCGGCCGCCGCGGCGTGGAGCCTGCCGCGCGGAAGGTGCGGAAGGTGGAGGGTGAGGGTCCACCAGTAGGGGCAGTTAGGATTCGCACGCTGTCGGAGAGGGGCGGCGCCATCGTCCGCCGACCTTGCGCAGGAAGTGCGGCATCGGCCACGGCTCCCTGGCAAGCTCGGTGCGGTGCACGCGCCGGAGGGCCCTGCGCGGAGAGCGCAAGCCCACGCGCCGGCTCCCGGTGGCGGCGCGCACAAAGGGATAAAGGGGGAGGGGGGGGAAGGCGTCTCAGACGGAGGCTGCTTCTTAGGAGGCGCCAGCCTTACACGTCTGCAGAGAGAGCCCGCGCCGCTGAGAAGCAGTCGTGCTTCTCAGAAGCCTTCCCCCCTCCCCCTACCTGAAGGGGCCCTGGGACACACAAATAAATACACACAAATAAAAAGATCCCCCATATTTTCGCATATGTTCGGGGTTTTTGTCTTCCCCCCCACTTCCCATATTTTCCCACATTTTCTGGGAGTCGACGAATACTTGTGTCTGTGTGATTTTTCCCCTCCTGACTACCCCCAGCTGCGCGTGGCCGATCCCGGGTCTGGTGCCTGGTGAGGCCTAGCCCCAAACCTCCGACGATCTGCTTTTCTGAACCGGAGGTGTCCCCCGACTTCGACCCTGGGGGGCCGCTTCAGGGCCCGCGGCCATCAGCAATCCATCCAGCAACCCAGACCCCCTCGCGTCGTGGAAAAATCACGACGGGAGGTCTTTCGCTATATTTTCGGCCTCGGGGGGCCCTCACTGGGCCTCGAGGCCGTCAGAAAACGACTCGGGACGAAGAACCGGTCCCGGGGAAAGGGTCCAGACTTCCGGGGGTCGCGCCATGAAAAAGTCATGACGTCGGGGGTCTGGGAAGGAAGACTGCCCCCGGGGAGGCGGCCGAGGCCTCTGCAGAGGCCGCGGACTGCAGAGGCGCACACCGGCGGACGCCGGGGGCTCCCAGGGCCGGGCACCTGCTGATCCGAGACCCCGAGATCGACAAGCCCAGGGCGACCCCCGCCCTCCACCTTCCGCACCTTCCGCGCGGCAGGTGCCGCGCCGCGGCGGACGCCGCCGCCGCCGAAACCTCTGCTGCGGCCTCGGTGGAAGCCGCAGTGGCGGCCGCCGCGGCGTGGAACCTGCCGCGCGGAAGGTGCGGAAGGTGGAGGGCGAGGGGACGACGACCTCAGAGGTGTGCCTGCAGAAACCGAGGGCCTCCTCACGATCGGCACCGAGATGGTAAGGAGATGCCAAGCAGAGCGGGCTGGGGGCATGCTTCAGGGTGGCGGCCGCCG